CACTAGTTCATTACGTAGCTGAATCTATTTTTGTGGACATCTGGAAGGAGAAAAGAAGGAGTGATTAGTCCTATGATGCAATCTTCCCGTTGAGGAGGCGGGGGTAACATTATCTGGTTTATGATGTAAATAGTCGTATGTAACCTGTATTATATTCGAATGTTCAGCTAATAGTTTATATTCTTCTGTTGCGCAACACAATTATTCCGATGATTTCTGGTCTCCAGTACACCAATTGTGGTATTGTATAACGTGTAAGGTGTAGCATGATAACGAACGTATATTTACGGAGAATTCAATTTTACCATAATGAATGTAGATAAAATATATAACCGCCACAATTTTGAGCAACATAAAGGGTTCCAATTAGGTGGGGATAGTGTAGAACAAATTATGGTCGGAAACGGTTCCGTCTGATAATATAGAAGGGGAAAACATTTCTCCTTGCGATGCCATTTATGTATGCCCTCTGATTTTTACAGATACTAGGCAGCATCTTTTTCTTTTCCTCTTCTCCTTTCCTTTTTCCTTGACAATGAGATGACTCCGCGAAATACTTTGCGAAAAGAATTGCACGGGCAAATAGGGACAGGTCTAAGTGTGTTTATACAGGACAACTGTCAATAGGCGTATAGGCATTCTGAACGTTGAGATAGACATTGACCAGGACACCATTGCGAATTCGTTAAAGCAAACCTGCAGGTTGCTGTTAACATAGCATAATTCTATCACCAGGAAGAGATGACAAGAGAAATGAGTCTTAAACATTTGAAAAAGACGACTACGTTAAAATTAGGAAAGGAATTGCATGGCCTCATTGGGAAAGGATACATAAAACCGACGTTTACACGTTAAATCTTATGTTCTTCACCTAACATATCGCAAACACTACTAGGTACCTTATAAGGGAGTATATTGATTTGGTTGTTGCATATGGATGGAATCAATTTTGAGATTAAGACGATGCCGACGTGTATATATTTATTTATTCTAATAAAGGGGGGATGTTCGAAAGTACACAACACATATCTGCGTGGAGGCATTCTCATATGACATGTGTTTCTTCATGTTGTACATAAGTAATGGGTATTAATAGTAATTGTTGTGTGAGAATCACGTTAATAAGAAATGGTTTCCGCGTTATAAGCCCGCCTTGGGTAGCGTCTTATAGGAATGAAAGGATTCTTAATTATTTATAGGAATTTCAAACAGGCGAGTTCTAATATGGCATACACTGTTTATACGTGTATCTAATTTGACAACTGTGACACATATTTAAATATACATAAAAGATGGGCAATTCATAGAATCCATTATGGATAAGACTACACACAACAGAATACAGAGAAGGAGAAAGTAATGGAGAATATTGACAAATCGATTGCATTCAGGCTGTAGCATTAGTGTAAATTACATACTTGGAATTTTCTCCCTGTTTCTATTAAGGATGAAAGTCATTTCTTTTTGTTGATTTTTATCTATGGTCAAAGTCTATGCATGAAAAGGAGAAAAAACCCCTAAAAGAAGATGCAGGAGTAGGGGTAGTAACATGGAAGGAAAAATCTTGTGGCATGTCCATAGCAGGCGCGTTCTGCTCGGAATGTCTTTGTGTCCTCTTTTGTACAAAAAAGGAGCATTTTAATATAAGTAACATTTTATGTCTATTGAGGAAAATTACTCCTTCTGCGATCACCTCCCCGTGTAGCGCAAAGGTTATGAGAGAGCTGAAAAGTTAGTAAGAGTGGAGAGGAATATTTATATGACTGCACACTTCAATAATCCTTCATTGACCCCTATAATGGTACCAATACCTATATACAAGTAAGTATGCATATATATATATATATATGTGGGTCTGGTAATATTATGTTGATAAGTGCCATAACGCTAGTATATTGCTTCTAAGAAGGTATGATAGCACGAGCGCCATCCAACGGCGTACCATAATGGGTATTGCTGATTGTGATAACTCACATATTAGAATAGAATGCTTATCTTGTAAACTTGGGCAGTTGTACGGAAGAGTGCTTTCTGGAAGTGTTTGCCTGATTCTTGTGGCTTGTTTCCTTCTTTTGTTTCCTGATAGATTCTGCGATACTGAAATCGTCGTTTATTTATGTGTACTGATTGCTGCAGGAAACTATACTGGTGGACTGGAAGCCGACCTAAGAGGTAATGGCTTCTCAGGATACACAATGGGCTACTATGAAAAAGAAGCTGTGGATCACCTTCCTGCTAAGTATTCAATTAATAATTAACTGAAGAACCTCATATTTATTCCTTTTGATAACATCGCGCCCATTGATGTGAATCTGGTATTCTTTACAAAAGATCCCCTTTCGGATTTTAAGGTCAAGGATTAGGTGAGCAAATCATGATGCTTTTAATGAACCTGTTAAATCTGTCACAACATCAGTCTAATATTAAATAAAGAAGAAATCCATTTCGAATAATGAAATTTAATAAATTCGAAGAAGTATGCGGGTGAGTAGTAAGAGTTAAGCATTCTTCGCTATACAATAGAATCTGAGGAGGATAAGATATTGCAATAATTATAATTAGCAGTTCCTCCTGTCCGGTTACACGAGCCGTTGACTACACGTAATGCACTGACGCGCTCTGATTAATTCCGTTAGGAAGATTACCTATTATGAACAAAATTTAAAGGGGAAGGAAACAGAAAAATACCAGTATTACGTCCGAATGTGACCCAGCAGGGGATACAGCGCAGTCCGAGTATGTTAATCAGAACCCAAATAGAATCATTAGGCAGTGACAAAAATACTTCTGCCCCAATGGATTGGGATTATCCACAAATATATATAGTACGGGGGCGGACAGAAATAGTGAAGGAATTGTGGGAGTGGTTATAATATATTACAAAAGATACTAAATAAAAATTAAGAAGAAATTCAAGTATTGAGTCATAAGGACAAGATACGAATAACAGACATGTGTGAGTGTAACCATGTTTTCCAGTGTTCATATCATGAATTGTATTAAACTAAGAAAGGGAAATAGGACATTCCTCATTTGGGGGGGTTAAGGGAATCTACATTATGGGTATCAACTGGGAATTCATCAATTCCAAGAACCATAAGGAGAATATTAGCCGAAGGAATACAGGTCACTTACATCCCTTTAGACATTGTTATGATTTATTGATAACAAACTATGTGTTCTTCACCTCTTTACACCTTACTATGGGACATATATATACCCATGGATATACTTATATATATATTCATTCGTTTTTATATGTGAAATTAGTTCATGAGTCATAAAAATAAGAAGTGTTAACCTCGTGAATCATCATGCACATCTGTAGTCCTACAGAGAACGGGTACCCAGGAAAACAACCAAAAGAGCCAGGAAGGGGACCGATGGTACACATTTTTACGCGAAAAGAGAGAATAGTTAGCATTATATGCAGATTCGGATTGGAAAATTATTCATTTGGCATAAAGATGTGACCGCTAAAATTATATGACAGCTCAGGGAGTGTTTTATCTAGACACATATAGAAGTAATATATTATTGAATTTAGACTCTTAGGTTAAGAGTTTTAATTACAGTTTGTACGTTAATTGTGTGTCGCGGACAATTGCGAGGGCTGCTATAGCTTCTAAAAATTTTTATCCCCTCTTGTTGGAACTCCGATGAGTTCAATCTGATAGAGATATGCAGATCCAAAGGGGAATAGCATGAAATGGTGGGCCGTTGGGTTTAAATGGCTTGTCTCATAGTTACGTTGTTTCTGTGAATGCCTCCTCATGCTCATCATTTCTGGGAGTTTGTTCTTCGATTTTGGGATATCTTCACGAGTATTCCCCCGCACCACGCATTCTTCCTGTTTATGTTCCCTCATGTTCCTGCATTTTTATAAGTGTATTAATTCATATCGCAACTTCCTCGCATATCAATCCGAATGCTGCCCAGTGCCTGTGGATGGGCGCCTTTGTTGTATCATTGTCATGAGGATTTTTTCCATGTCCGTGCATTTTTATGAGAGTATTTTTTCATGGCGCTTCCTTCTTATATATGCCTCTTCATGTGGCCAGATTTTGCCAACGTGGCTTCACATTGGGTAATTTGGCAAGCACCTTTTCAGGTTGCCTAATCTCGCAAACATCGTGCCACGTGGCGTGACTTCCGGAACGTCCTCTCAGGTGTGGTAATTTGGCGAAAGTCCACTCACGTGTGGTAATTTCGCGGACGTCCTCTCGGGTGTGGTAATTTCGCGAATGTCCACTCACGTGTGGTAATTCTGCGGACGTCCTCTCACGTGGGGGAATTCTGTTAACGCAATTCCATGTGGGGTAATCTTGTTGAGGCACTTCCATGTCGCGTAATTCTTGTGAACGTGGGTTCATGTGGCGTAATTTTTGCGAACGTGGGTTAATGTGGCGTAATTTGTTCGAGCTTCGTTTCATGTAGCTTAATCTCTGCGAACGTGGTTTCATGTAGCGTAATATTTGCGAACGTGGTCTCATGTGTCGTAATTTGCTGCGCAGGCCCGTTTATGTGGTGTAATTTCTTCCGGTTTTGGCCCTATCTGGCTTGAACCTTCTAAGATTGTATCATGGGGATCAATTTTTGAGGGTGTTCTGTCATGTGTCATATCGGCCCCACTTGTTCTGTTCCGTTCTGCTCCATTATATAGAGCTCTCTACTTATCTTCTTGATGAGGATACACTTCTCTGCGGCATAGCCTTGACGAAATCCTTCTGGAGAGGTTGGTTATGATGACATTTTCTGCAGCATACCTATGAAAATACCACTTCTTCATGCATCCTTATAAAGATGACCTTATCTTCTGCCCCCTTATGACGATTTCTCCGGCGTGATTTTCTCATGATGATGTCTTCTCCTTCCTGCAGCTTCTTGATGCTTCGCGTTCGAGTCATTGCGCTTTTTTTTTTTTTCTCATGGTGACTTTTATTGTTCTCCTGCGACAGTGTGATGTTTTGTCTTTTTCTTGCATTCCTTTAAGGATTCCTAGATTTCGCATGTCACTATAATAATGCCTCCCTCGTCTTCATTTCCACATAGCTACAGGCCCCCCGCTTCGCCAATATGAAGATGTTCCTGTGTGTTGTATCCTGTTCAGGATGATATTTCCTGTCCCATTTTTATGAAGTTGTCTTTCCTTTTGGTGCGTCATCGTGAGGTATTTTCCTTGTGTGGCATCGTTCCTCCCATGATTTATTTTACGCGGTTGTACTCTTAATATATTCCTCCGCTCATTCTTCTTATAGAGATGGGTCCTTCTGCTTTGTCACTATTAAGACTCTTGTTGGGGTTTCATCTCTTTTGTGACGATAGCTTTATTCTCGGGTGGCCTTATGAGGTTTCTCCTCTGACTCCATTAGGAAAATCGCTGTTCGTGCTGCTTCTGTCCTAGGAGAATTCTTCTTACCGCGCTATATCTTTGATATTACTTGCTTTGACTCGTCTATAAAGATTCTTTTTCCTCTTATCATGCCACCGAGAAGATTTTCTTCTGCGAGTTCTCTGTCTTTATCGAGATATCTCCCTTTGGCGGCATTCCTATCATGCTGTTTTCCGGTACCTGTCTGAATATGTCTTTCTGCTGTATTTGTCTTATATTGAGTCATTCTCCTCCCGTTGCATCGTGAAGATTTCCCTCCATGTGTTATCTTTCCTACGATGATTTACCTTCTTCGCGGCATTCTGAAGACTTCCCCTCGTGTGTGATTTTCTCTATGAAGCTGCTCCTTTTCTGCGGTGTTGTTAAGATGCTGTTCTGTTCTTTATTTTCTTTATGAAGATGCTTCCTTCTTCTGGTATTTTCAGGATGATTTTCTGTGGCTTCATTTTGAAGAAGTCCTTTCTCCATTATTGTGAAGATGTTCCTTCAGGTGTCATCATTAAGAGGATGCTTCTCTGGCTTCATCCCTGTGGATAGGGTTTATCTTATGTCATTTTTCTTTATTGGAATTTTCGCCTCCGTAAGATCGTGATTGGCGTATTTCCTTTTCTCTTTATCTGGAACCATTATGAAGATATTACCTTCCTTTCTTCGGCTATCTATCAGGATGGCCAGGTATTTGAAGTGTAAATATCAGGACCATACAGATGTGCTAGCTTAATCAAACAGGAATAATATACGCATGTCTGAAGGGCCACTTCTATCCCTTATGTATTATTGCTCTAGAAGTGATGATGTTCATGGAGTACTATTACGTGAATACCAATGTTACCTGGATAATATTGTTAATTGAAGTGCACAGTTGTTTCAAGGGTAAGGATTTTCCTGGAGGGCTATTGTAGCAAGCCTATTGACGTGTTCGTAGTACTCATTTGTTCATGGTACTGACATGCTTATCTTTTTGTTACATTACAAGCACCAGCTCGTCTGGGGTACTCCTCTTTGCAGAATACTGGTGTGTGTTTATAAGCCTCTTATCGCGCCAGGATGCATGTGTGGTCCTGTTATTTGAAGTGTATGGATATTCTAGAACTCTCGCTTAAATCGTACCAAGGTTTGTGGATTCTCAATGGTCCACAATCTAGAGCTTCCCATGGTATTGTTATAAGAGCACGCATGTAGCTCAGTTGTTTGCATGACCCCCAGTGCAATCATATTAAGGTGTACCATTATGTATTGTGCGCTGTGCCATAATGAATATCATTATATTCAAAATAGTATGTTATGGAAGATTACGTGTTTGCCAGGAATATGGTTTTGTTATGGGTAGTCTTATTTGGATTATACTTCTATTTAAATAGGACGGTTTCTTAATAAATATTTATGCTTTGCAAGGCCAATATGAGGAGAGTACACACGAATGTATAGTACTCATATCTGGAGTTAGCTGATGTGTGTAGCATATGGCTCTTTGGAGAATACCGAAGTTGAAACAATCGTATTAAGTGATTTATTCGGGTGATAGGATATATTTCGCGTAACCTCTTACCATTTGGAGAAAGCTATCTTATGAAGATTGCACCAACTCCTGTATTATTTTTATGTGAAGAATACTTCTGCGCCCAGTTTCTTAATGTGTGAAATGCACTGTCAATTCAGGAAAACTAGTGTTATCTGAGGGGCGGTGTACCTCGATGAATAAGCCTATCCTTGGGGTATCATGATGTCAAGTGGCTCAATGTAAGTCTAAGGACTTCATTAGAAAACCAGCGGGATTGCGGAGCTCCCATGGCCCATATGTAATACTATTAGTTAAAGAGTATTGCTACTCGTGGAGTATGATGATCTTAAGAGTACATTTTTGTCTCAGGTATTGATGTTCCAGGAGTTAAGTTGTGCTACGGAAAGCGTTGTCTCTGCCCTTATGTAGCTTCATTAGTGGGGCTATATCTATGGTACTATTTGTTGGAAAGTACGCGTGTACAGGTAATACCGTTATGTTAACAATACTGTTGTCGGGATAATACCTTCATTTGAAGTGCACAGTTGTATAGGAGTATCGATGACTCGAAGTATCATTATCTGAAGAGTACTTGACTATATGCCGTA